TGCTTGTCAAACAAACAGCCAAGATGTAACCTGGTCGCTACGATTTTATATAAAGTTTCACATGTAAAAGCCATAAAACAGCAATTGATACATCAGCGGACAGAGAAAAGATTAACAGTGTGAAGAAATCCTGCAAGTTCCTTGGGAGGGAAATTTCGAGGAACAAGTACCTACTAAAACGTTGCAAGATGTCAACTGATTTGGAGTCTATAGTTGACATAAGTTAGCAGAGACAGAGACAGTCTATGGAACTCATTACATCAGTGCACCATTTTTAAAGGTGTATTTTAAATTCTATTTTAAATTCTAAAACACACTGACTCTTACAGATGAAAAAGTAGAAAGAAATACTTTCGTTTGTATTTCCTTTTTCATCTCAACTCAATTAAATGTAACACATTCACACAGAGAACAAGATTTTTTTTGTCTCTGTGCAGATCAAGTGTCTCAGTGAAGGGGCTGACTGAAGATCACTGACCTCTCCTCATTAGCTCGCTCACTCACCGAAACTGTACTTTGAGTCTTTGAAATGAAGTAGAGAGAGTGCATCCCACTTTGAGACACTTGATCATGAAAGTAATCCCATCTCAGACAGAGGGAGAAAAGCACAGAGACACATAAAGAGAAAGAAAGGCGGGACTAAAATGGAGAGTGATGCTTGGCTATGTTTAGTATTGGTGGTATTATTTTAAAATTGGGTCTCAGGCCTAAATGTATAATTTCATGTTAATAATTAAGCTGTGTCATTAGGGATTTATACCTCTGGCCTAGATCTTGTGTTGGTTATCCGAGTAGGGGAGCAGCTCAAGGCACAAGGAAAATTATTTCTTGGTAGTTATATATTTACAGCTATTTCATATTTATCCCACTCACTGCATTTTTGGTTTTTACCTGATGCTGGGGGGCAGGCAAGAATCTGAGGCATTGCTTTTCTTCTCCTGAGCTTTGCTGAGGTCAGAAAGGCTGCTGCGGACCACTGCCTCGCCCTCGTCGAACATCAAGTGCAGCCGATAGTTGGCGAGCTTGATAAGGACGAAGAAAACAGTGATGGAGGAGCAGTAGATGCTCAGAGCCATTGTAGTGGGAGGCAAAGCCTGTGGAGAAGAAAGGAAGAGCTTAGTCATATTGAAATCAGCATTTCCTGAATCTCCTGACTCCACCAGGACAGAGTTTGATTTAATTCTTCAAGCTTTAGCACCACCAATTTCTTTTGATTTATATTGCAACACAGCCTCAGCACACTGCAAGATCTGATTTTGATATATTGGTAGATTAATAAAGTTTACTAGTCCACTGGGGAGAAATTGCCTGTAGCAAAGAACAGGAATATCAAAGGCAAAGTATCATGCCAATCATGAGTCATAATGTCCCAGAGAGAGTTCTTGCTGTTTTGAATGTTTGCTATTGTCCCTCAACTTCCTTCCATCATTTATCCTGCGCTGAATACGACCTTCACAAAAAACGCTAAAAAACTTGAAATTTGAAACACCTTCCCTCGGAAAGCTTGTGTTGTTTCTGCAGGGGAAGCAGTGGATGTTTTCACACAGTCTAGAAACTGTCAGCAACAACAATTTAATATAGAATCAGTGCCAAAGTGTTTACCGTCTGAGGTGTCAGTCACACATCACCATCTGCCTTAATAGCTAAAATATGTGACTGGCTAATTTCGGGATCACCAAAACAGATATAATCAGCAATATCTTATCTTTGATAAACTGCTTACAAAAATGTACTCTGTGTACAATAAGCTGCCATTGCACTGTTTGCACAATCAAGTTACATTACCCTTTCAGTATTTGTACTGTTTTGCCATAATGTCTCCTATTAATTGCCTATTCACAGGTTAATGTGTTTGACCTATAGGTAAGCTGTATGGCAGGAACACAGAGGTCACTGAAGATGTCCCTTCAAAGAAGAAGGGGTCAAATTTGGTTGTATTGTATTGTATTGTAGTGGAGGTTGGGCAGTAAAAGTCGAGACTATATATAACTGGGCTTTCCGCCTCTATTAATCACCATATAGCATGAAGCATCATCAGCCCGTGTATTGTCACTGGGAGTAATGCAGCCAGTGTCGCACCTCTATCAAAGCCCATGGCATGAAAATATTAGTGAACCACATTTCACGCTTTCTGGCTTCACCACTGTCACATCCAGGAGCAGCCATGCTTTCACTTACTGCATGCGGGAGAAAAATACTGCGACAGTGTCCTTTTTCCTGGCCTTGTGTTTCCATCAGCTGCTACATTGCGTGATATTCCATTCTCCTACAGCTTGTGGTTGTTGTTTTTTTCTCCCAAGGATAAACAGGGGCATTATTACAATTTTACCTAGGTAGTGTGGGCACCTTACACCCCACGCACGGCCTTGAACGTCACGTTCCTCAATAAAAACTCACCAGATGGAGAGACAAGGGCAACATCAGGAGAAATATCCACAGATAGAGGTGACATGAGTTGTTGAATTTATTCTGGTCCGGGTCGTGGTACCAGCCCCCGGTCAGGGATGCCCAGACCCCCTGACGGAGGGTTTGCACAACCTGTGAGCCCATCTCCCCTCCTCTCCCCTCCTCTCCGCTCAGGTTGGACTGGCTGATGGTGATGATGATGATGCTGGTGCTGCTAGGCTACAATGAAATGATCTCCTCTATCTAATCATGCATGCTACTGTCGCTACGCCTCCATGTTGGCGCGACGCAGCTTGACTCTTGAGTCTTTCCTTTCATGGCTCGGTCTTCCTCAGCGTTGTCCTCTCGTCTGCCGTTTCCCATCCCAGTGTCGATGTGTGCATTGCTGCTGCTGCTGCTGCTGCTGCTGCCGCGGTCCTCATCATGTTCGTCTCTATCCTTCCTCTCTCTCCTCTCAGGCTTGCCTGTACAGATGCGCAGCTCTGACCACCCCCTCCCTTCTGTCTTTTTCACTCCTCCTCTCTCCATATTCATCCATGTCCATTATGCGAGTTCCACCTTCAGTCAAACACTTTGCGACATGCAATCAAGCCACGTTGTGCATTACATACAATGTATTTGTAGCCTATGTACAGACCATGAATTGCGCACAGTATTTAAAGGTTTTAGAGCTTACGTTTAAAAATAATGTACAGCGGTGCAAACATGCAAAACATATTATATTATATTATATTATATTATATTATATTATATTATATTATATTATATTATATTATGCATGTGCACGTGTCTTTTTGTGGTCCACTATCGTTATAATTTCCCTGAAGGCGCGCTCTCTTCATGCATTCCTACAGTGACTCCTCCCCCTCCCCCCTGCTGCTGCTGCTTTGGTCACGTGTCAGGTGTCCACCAATGAGAGCAGAGCGCAGCTTGCAACGGGAGCACCAGCCGTGTCCCCTGATCGTGTGTCCAGCCACTGCTGGGTCCGACTCCGTCTGGCGAGAACGTTAGCGGGGTCTTGTTTTGATTAAAGTTGACGGATCTTTTTCAATTTCATATTTTATACCCTGTATTGTTTGTGTGGAAGTACAGGATATATACTGTGGTTCCCGAGTACTTATCCGTTGGCTGTTTTTTCCCCGCACATCACCGAAAGAGAAATAAACTTTGGAATTAACCGATCTCAAAGTGGAGAGGAGCAACTTTTCCAACAGGCTGACCTATGCTAAGCTAATCAGCTAAGCCAGAAGTCTGGAATGCAGTTGAAATTCCAGTTAAAAGTCCACAAAGGAGCGCACGAACCGTCCGTTTCACTATTCGGTGACTATATGAGATTCACTAGAGACTCTCACAGTGAAAGCTACTCCGCGGAGCCTCTCCGTATTTGGTCGGAATGGACGCTGCAGGTGCACCTCTTGAGGCACCTGCGAAAACTTGGTAACTTGAGAGCTAACTTTAGCCTTTTCACGTTAGCATTCAGCAGAACCAGACAGTGTTTTGTGATAGCTTTAAATTAATTTAGCTTGGCAGTTAATTGTTATTTTTCGCTTTACTGGCATTAACCAGGAGCTTTAAAAAGCGTCGTTAGCTAACCCGTATTTCGGCTAACTTAGCCAGCAACCTCGCTAGCTAGTTATTGACCCTCACACTTGTACCGGAGTGGCGACGTGGATACAGACGCGCTCTCCCACGGGACTTTGGACACAGTTGGACCACGGCGTGGAGTGCACAAGGATACCCCCTCCTCTGTTTTCATCGGATAGTGTCTTATATGTGACAGCATGAGGATTTCAAAAAGTTACAAGTTACCTTTTTAAAGTTTTCATTTTGTCCAAAAAGCGCTGCACCCTATGGTGTCGCTACGGCCACCGAGAAATGGATGTCTCGCAGGCCGCTTTCCCAAACGGTGAAGGGCGGCCGGGCGGCGGTGGGACCGGGGAACATGCTTGGGCAGAGTCCCCCTCAGTTCGGGCTTGGGCTCACTCTGCCCCGCTGTGCCCAACTCGATCCCTGTGGACAGCTGCTTATGACTACGAGGCGAGCGGCGAGGACGAACTCAGCCTCAGGCGAGGTGATGTAGTAGAAGTCCTGTCCAAGGACGCTGCGATCTCCGGGGACGAGGGATGGTGGACGGGGAAAATCAACCACAGGGTAGGGATTTTCCCTTCCAATTATGTCACCTATCAGCCCGCTATATACCGTCTCCCAGCTACAAGTGTGTCGACGGGGGTACCAGAGCGAGTCCCGAGCTCGCCCGTCCAGATCCCTTTTAGTGAACTGGTATTAGAGGAGATCATAGGCGTGGGTGGATTTGGTAAGGTTTACCGGGGCACATGGAAAGATCAGGAGGTCGCTGTGAAGGCGGCTCGGCAGGACCCAGATGAAGACATAACGGCAACCGCCGCCAGTGTTAAACAAGAAGCTAAACTTTTCTCGATGCTTCAGCACCCCAATATTATTAAACTGGAAGGGGTGTGTTTGGAGGAGCCTAACCTGTGCCTGGTCATGGAGTATGCCCGAGGCGGGACACTGAACCGGGCGCTGACCGGAAGGCGGATCCCTCCACACATCCTGGTCAACTGGGCTGTGCAGATTGCACGCGGGATGCACTATCTACACGAGGAGGCCGTGGTACCCATTATCCATCGTGACCTGAAGTCTAGCAACAGTAAGCTCGATGTGTGTGTGTTTGTGATTAAGACAGATAAATTGAGGTAACATAACTTGCAGAAGGATATTTTGCACTTCATCTTTTAGTCATTTATGTTATGTTAGTTATGCTTTGGTTTCATTCTGCTCTGTCACTCTTTAGGTGTTAACTAACTCTTTTAAATCACTTGTTTCATGTTTCCATCATCCCAGAATATGTGTCAGTGCTGTTTTGCAACTCCACATGTACCAACCTGTCACACAAATAATGATAGTTTACCATTTCCTTAGTCACATGACACATTTGGAAAGGTTCACTGTATGTTTATTAGTTATTTGGAAGCACAGCATTGTGACTGCAATACGAGGTTGCCTATTTCCCACAGCTGCCATAGTACCGCTCTGCACTCATGACGTCTTACAGTTTAAGAAGTTTGTGGTTTATGAAGTGGTGGGGGATGCTATTAAGAGGATGTGAAATGAAGTCAGTTTGCTCAGCTGGGCTGCTCCCTCTTGACTCATTCCTTATCCTTTGACTAACACACACACACACACACACACACACACACTTGCTTTCCAGACCCCTCTCCACCAGCAGGTGAAATGCTGTTCAAATAAATTCGGAGATTTAACAAACATATTAGGTAGACACAATCTGTCAACACTATCGGGCCATGTCCTTCATCACCACCTGGCAGTAGCAAAGTTCATAGGTGGAAAAAGAAATCATATGGAAGTTTGGTTTAGGCTTTTTAAGAAATATAACCTTTGCGTAATGGATTTTCAACAGAACTACAACTGCTATAAACATTTGGTTTAGGAACAAAAATTCTTGAGTAGGTCTCACTTTTGAGCCTTTTTCAAATAACAGTTCATTTAGCTGCACTTGGTACAGTGTATTGGGCCAACTGTGCCGGTTCCACCATGGACTGGTAATTGACAACAGGCCAGAGAACTTTCCCAGGACTGAATAATGAATGGACAGGTCTTAATGAGAAAAAGGTTCTGACTCGCATACCCACTGACACAGGCTGCTCACTTCAACTCAGGTGTGTTTATGTGTGTAATTTGACTCCAAACACTTTTGTGACTGGAGACGCTTATCAACCCTGGGCCATGTGGGGAACCGCTCCAGTGCACTGATCCCTTATCTCCAGCTCTGGGAAGCAGTGTGTGAACACAGGGGCGAAACCTGTGAAATGTATACATACCAGGCCCTCTGTAATCATAGGTCAGGATGTGTGATTGGATTTTAAAAAGAACTGTGATGCACAAAGTCCCATGTATGCATGTATATGTTGTTATTGCTTCTGTTTCCAAATTTTTTCAGTTATTGGTATTATTAATTTTTAACAGTTTTATGATAAACTACTTAATATAAAATGTGCTGATTTGGGTCTCTCTGTGGTTCGAAGTTAGCAGATACCACTAAAGATGTGATAAACGTCACACTCCTCTCCGCTGATGTGACAACCACACAATCTTGTGATCTACTTCATTGGTCACAGGCATGGAGAGTCTCCTAGTCACAGAAATGCTTGAGCAATGTGGTATGTTGCGGTGGCATGCCGTAAAGGCTAAGATTATGGCAAATTTAAAGGGAAGTGACAAAAGTAAGAAAATTTGTACTAAAGTGCTCTAACTGAGGCATTTTTTTT